GAATCCAGGTTAGGAAGAAATCTTGAATCTTGAATTGTGTTAGACAGAAACATAGAAAAAATCAAATTACCATTTTGGATTTGGTTCCAATCATCGGCATCCTCTAAACTGCTTCCAAAGTACTTAAGCTTTTCAAGATTGGTAGTAGTCAAATTTTCACCAGCTGATAAAGAATGCAGCTTTTGCTCGTGAGCCACAGAAATTTCTAACCCGAGTGCGAAAAAGAAAGGGAAAGAAAGAGAGAGTTTACCGGGTAAGATGTATCGTTTATGAAACTTTGGAGTGTCAATTACAAGCGACTGCTGTGAACGCCCTTCATGATCCATATAGTCTTGGCACATCCTTAGCCTCTAACCACCATCCCATAGTTTTATTTTTTGACATAGACATGGAAAAAATGAAAACTCAGTAACCTGACCAAGAAAATCGATCTGACAAAGAACCTAGAGTAGGAACTTCTATATACCTGTTCGATGCAAGATACTCGTAATTCGGTGTCTGATACTTCATCGACCTTTTCATCGATAAAGTCATTGACTTTATACGTAACAGAGCCTAAATGGTCAATTGTATTCACCAGAGCCTTCACCGCATAATCTTTCAGTGTCTCTACAACTCTGCATTTAACACGAAAAGAAAGTTATTGTTAAAAACAGAGAAGAACAAAGTTTAGTGACACAATCTGAGCTGCTAAAATCCAAACTCACATCTTCTTTTTATTGTCTGTTGTGTAAGATAGTTCGAAATACTCAGCTGCTGAGTACAACTGCATTCGCAGATTCTTCAAGTCCTGAGAAAAACCGAAGCAGAGATCATTTCATATACTTTCCGATTTGTGAATGAAGATTGTAAATTAGTAACAATACTTGGATCTTCAGAATCAGAAACAGTCATAACTTCCATCAGTTTCACGCAATTGAACACACATCAGAGAAGCTCTTTCTAGGTCAGATGGGGACTTAAACCAATTATGAGAAACAAATACTAAAAGAGCAAACAACAATACGCAAGTTTTTGCATATTCAGAAGCTACCTTAAGACCATCAGAGAAGAGCATGCTTTTCTGCATAGAGACCTCATCGTAATTCGATGCTTCTTGGGACACGGTCATCGTAGCCGCTGCAATCTCTTGCTTTTTTTTACAAAAAGGAGGCAGTGACCTACTTTTCCTTGTCTCTGCGGAAAAAAGAAATCGCCAAACAAGAATGAAGTTAAGAACCTCAAATCTTTATAGATGTTTCTATCTAGATTTTCCAACAACACTTGAAAGCTACATTCTTTAAGTTAACATATGAACAGAAACGACGAATAAGAAGATCTAAGTAATCTTTTCGTCTACGAAATATTACGAGAGAGTAATCTTCCAACTGTAAGATAACAGCAATCGATAAGGATAGTGATGTTGAACATGAAACTGGAAACTCTTTTCAAGAAGAGTATAGATTTTATTATCCAGATCAAATGTTTTAAGAACAAATACATTCTGTTGCGCAGAAAGTGTTACCATCAAGGACACAATGCTAAAGTATATGAATCCTCAACAAGAAAAACTATTTGCTTTGATCCAAATCTAATCTGATAAAAGAAGAAACAGACAAGAAGTCGAATCCACCCACAGCTCTCATAAGCAGTTCTGAAAACAAATAGAGCTTCTTTGAATCTTTCACTAGTACCCTTTTTCTGTCTTATAAAATTATTACAAAAATTCTCACGAATGAAACTAAACAAAAAAAAAAGAGAAACTTTGCGAGAAGTTGCAATGTTTTATAATTAAAGTATTACAATTTTTAACAACCAAAGAATCAATAATAGTTCAGAGTTCAGACAACAACAAAAAAAGGCTTCAACTTGTTTGTTAAGCCGTGAGAGCAGAAGTAGCAAAAACCCAATTCCAATTCATAGGTTAAATAGTAAATATTAAAAGAAATCGACAAGTAGAATCTAAAGAACCCAGTCGACAAAAAGTTTCGACATTTCGACTTATTGCAACTGAAATTTCAGATAATGAGAGTGAAATCAAACCAGAGAAGTGTGATTACCCTTCGAAAAGGCTTAGAGCAGTAGCTTCTCGCACTAACCCGCCTTCTTTCTTTTTATTATTCAGTCGGTATAACACTCTCTTTCTGGTGTTTCTGGTCGAAGGGCAGATCCAATTTTTCTGAAACAATGAAGATTTAAAGACCTTAACAGTTCGAAAAACCAAAAGCGGGACGATGTTTACGGGTGGAGATTTTAAGGAAGGAAGTTAGCAATGTTTGAGTTTTTGTTTTGTCTCATAGAAAACTCGAAACCTCTCACTTTTTTTACCCATCATTTGCGGAGAAACGCTCGCTC